ATATTAATAATTAAACGTATTTCGGTAGAAATATAACACAACTTTGAAAATTTGCTGGTGCACTCAGAGCTTCTCGTTTAATTACATTAGTTACAGACAATTTACAAATGACATTAAAATGAATTCAGCTATATTTGCTCGTAATAGAAATACCAGCGTTGTAATTAAACTACCTTAAAACTGTTCTTTTGCAACTATAATATATTACGATGACGTTGAGTACTTAATTTAGTCAAGTATTTATAATGCGAATGGATTGCGAGATGGCTTTCACTTTCGTCGTACTCCGCCATTAACGAAAACCGATTAATTCACTCCGAGCTGATCCGTTGGAACGAGAAATTTTCCAAGCAGTGTTATAGAGTCGTCCGAAAATTACAATAAATTTGCATCGGTAGCTTAATATTCATTCTTCGAAACGAATTGAAAGATAATATAGGATTGGCGTGACAGAGAAACACGACGCGAGTAAATATTCATCAATCGTTTTCTACGTCGGGCATTATTCTTTCATTCGGGCACATTATAAATTCGCAAATGACAGGTTGGCAAGTATCGAGAAAGTCGATCGTTATCAAAGAGAATTCGAATAACATACACGGCTGCGACGTACATAACAGAACGGAGACCTCAAACATTTGTACGTGACGGGGTTTCATAACGGAATTGTATACTATTAACACGCGTATTCGAAATAGATGGTGCATTTGATGTCCGATTATACGTTCCCGATTTGCAGTTAACAGGTTGCCGCGTATCAATGATCTTTGCTGGACGGGTCGTACTTTTCCGTGAGTTATGGACAATGGAAATGCCCTATGTCACATAAAGTCAGACGAGGACGTGTTAAATAATTCAATGCGTTGCGAGCGTTATTAACGAGCATTCTTAACGAGTTCAGGTAGAATGTACTCGATACCATACACGTCACTAATTACCACGACGATGAAATGTATTCGTAATTTCTTCCGAAAGGAGAAATCTTCATATAAAGAGACGCTTCGAAAACGTACATTTGCTTTCCTGGAAAAAGACACCTACCGATACTAAATATATATTTTTTATTAGGAGAAAGGATTCTGATATTTAGGGGAAGGTTGCATAAATTGGACTACTGTTAACGATTCAAACGGAATCCTTAACAGACCAGGTTTATAATGCGGATGTGATTTTACGCTATTTTTTGAGGATAACGAATAAAATTCTCCTATTGTCGCCCAAGCGGAATAGGTCCGAGGTCAATATGTTGTCTCTGCAAGATTTATGAATGCGTGAGCGGTGAGATGACCACCATATCGCACATTTGTATCAAACTTAGACCATTACCAGCTATATGCGTCAAGACCGATGCAGACATATAATCCTCAATTTTCCGGATTTGAAATGGAACCCTTCCGGAATTCATCTGCTAACAGAGTGAACATTTTAGATAGTAGTCCCCTTAACGAGACCTCTGCAACACAATTACTTTAGTCATTTTCTTGAATTACGATGTATTTATTAAGTTCAAAATGGTTTTTGTGTATTTTGCACTTGGAAACTAACGAAGATAACGACTTTATTTTTTCTAGAGATAAATAGAAAAGGGGGCTAATCCTATAATGTGCAACAGAATTTGTTTGTGGGTGACTATCGGGGAGAAAAGGGAGAATAAATTTATTTAAATGGTAGGTACTATTAAATTTTCGTTATTCGCATAGCTCATGTACCATTTAACTGTAGGAAAAATGAAGTCGATATCTTCATCAGTCACTAAGAAACTAATTTGTAAAACTCGATATAGGACACCCTGTATATTACACTTTAATATCTCACTTCAATAAGAATATTTTTGATTTGTTGGAAATATTTACAATATCCAAAATGGTCCAATTTAAGTAATTTTCCCTTGCTTGTTTCCTTTAACAAAAATTGAGCTCTTTCTACATAAAAATAGTCTTGTCTTCAAAAACCGTGCACTTTAGTCATAGGAATAAACTTAAAGAGATATTTCTTGCAACATGGACGAACCATGTTTCACTTTTGTTCGAATAACTTCTTTAAAAAATTTGTGGAAAAAAAGTTCTTCGGACGTTGTTCATTGTACTATCAGAAAGTCCTTGGTTTTTCCTATAACGAAGAATTGTCTCAAGTATTTCTAATCGAACAATTATTCTTAAGAAGCATTTAGATAGAGACTGAGAAGAGACTGCTCGACATCGTGTTCACTGCGATCGTGGTTCATAATATTAATTATCATCACTACTCCACACTACCACGTGACACGTGGAATGTATAGATTTGTACTTGTTTGTTTATTTATTGTTAGGTAACAAAGATAAAAAAAGAAAAGAGTGGGGAATCCACGAATGAATGATTCGCGGTGGAGAGAGCGGAGCCAATTTTTAGATCAACCTTGACTGTTTAGCCTTTAGATTTTATTAGCTATATAAGAACGACTAAAACATTATTTTGTTGATATATATTGTACGACATTATTGATTATAAATCATAAATAATCTGTAAATATATGAGACCAATGCAACGTTGCATCTTTTCTCGAAAAACATCTGCACGATCCTTAATATTATTTCTATTAATATTTATTTAGTAGAAGTCTCATCCTAATATATTTACAAGTTGTTATTGATCTATGTAATTTATTTTAGTCAAACGGTAACAATTCGTTTTTTGTGCATTTGTAGTTCCTCTACGTGGAAAAACAAGAGTGTAAATTTATCTTATACATTTTATTACAAATTTCATGAACCAAACTCTTACGAGTTCTTTGTACGTATAAAATACTATGCAAATATTATTCTTTTAGTCTCCTTCTAACTATGCAGTGCTATGTAAATGCTGTGAAACAAATTTGCAACTTTTAATTTGTTCTTGCATCAAGAAAATGATGTACAACGCTTGTTTTTCACTTGACGTAAACTGTTTTTCTCTTTTTTGTTATATAAACAAATTCAATTTAGCATGCTTAATTTCTTCTCTGAACATATTGTTTATTTACTTAACTGATTTTTTTATATTGATGTTCTTTTTTAAGATGCAGGTACTTTAATTAATTATTGAATTAACTGAATTAATTTTCTGTTACTTTTAAACAATTTAAAATTCAATATAAAATTTATCTACCAGAGACCATGAATGTGAAATAACATTAAAACGAAATAAATAAACATTACATTCAGGAAACAAATTTAGCATAATAAAAAATTAAAAATCTAAATCAACGAATCAAATATAAAAAATATTATATTAGATATTTAATTCAAAATTATGTAAGGTGAGTTAAACAAATATGTAAAAATATGAATTAACATACAAAACAATTAAAAAATTTACAATTGCGTTAGAATTTCTTCGTTATGTATTAACTAATAACATCTATGATCGTAATAATACTATTACTATTTATACAAGTTTGTATAACTATTTTCAAAAAGCAATTTTATAATTATTGTTAGAATATTTAGTAAGAAGCTCTGATACATCATGTATAAAAAGATTTTCATTATACAAACAACTGCTTTAAAGAAATCACGACGTCTACAAAAATGCATTTGTTTCGCCGAATTTGAAATTCCCGCCGTCGCGAAAAGTTATCGCGAGATCATTGGTTCCCACAAGTTGTACTTAGTTTCAGTATAAAACGAACAATTTATATTTAATCACGCTGCGAATATCTAACCTTGCATGCGTACATTATAATTTACCAAAAACGTTCGAAAATAATAGAAAGAACAGAAAATAAACTAATTCGAATGATGAGTTTCTCGTTACATTCTTGGCGGCCATTTTGCGAGAATCATCGCGTGTGATTGGCCGCAAACAAAAAGTACACAGTCCCAATACTAGTGCATATCGTGATGCAGAGTAATCTACAGAAGCGAATCTCTTGTTGAAAGCATTGATGTTGGTATCTTCGTATGTTTGCATTAGGACGAGCTCTAAACAGGTAATGAAAAATTTACGATGCAATGGCCTAATCTGTGTTTGAATCTCGTTTCATTTAATCACAGTTTACTATCGATATTGATAAGGTATCATAACTGTATTCAGAGTGATACTCCCTCCTAACCGGAACCTAAAAAATAACAAAGTTTCATCTCTGTAACTCTGTAAGAATACTCTGTGGTAAACCGTGATTATAAATTTTCCACTGTCTGCTTTTGATATCAGAGATGAAATTGAAGTATGGTGTAGTTAACATGAAGTTACAGAAGAATTTAGACTATCAATCAATTATTTTTTTATGTACATGTGTAATATCGCCGATTTTTGCAATTAATGATTGCACAGAATCTTCTTTCTTAAAATTTAATTGAAACGGATAAATGTTTTCCTAGCAGGTTGTATACTAGTTGGAAAATTATTTGTGTATTTAATGAACTACTTAGAAGAAATTTCTTTTTGTAATATTGCGTTTTAAATATTGCGCGCTTTACACGTTTCACCAGTGTCTCTTTTTTCTCTTTTATGTACTAACCGTTCAAAAGTGATGAATCTAGACGTCTGGAAAAAATCTTTACTAAAGATCTTACATCATTCTTAGAGACATCTGAAGGAGTACTCGTCTGAATGTAAGACAATAGATAAAATGGATTGTGACTTTTCTTACACTAAAGCTTATGGGTATACTTAGCCATGTGAACATTCTGTATCCGTGATAAAGATATAGCAGAGCCTTATTTAGAACATTTTTGTCGAAGCTTCTAACTTCATAGCCAAAATCTGACTTAATGAGATGTACTTTATTAATTATTTAGTAAGCTTTCTTATTAAGGCAATTTTATTTGATAAAACTACAATTAATGACACTAGCATAGATACATTTTAGACTGGGCGACATTGAGAGTCATCGGTTTAATTTCCTTAGCCAAGCCCGCCAAGCCTAATCTGAAAGTGCGGGGATACGAACATCAAAGGTTCCCGACAAGAGTTTCGCCTCTATTAAACTACTCTGTGGTTGCATTATGCTGGCGGCCATTTTGTTGGAAACACGCGCGCGCGACTTGGCCGCAAACAAAAAATAGTCCCGGCGCTAGTGTGTGTCGCGAGTTCATAGAATTTTTCTACCGTGATAAACTTTTAGGTTGGCTTTTCGACGCAATTAGCGTGTAATAACGTTCGATCAAGTTTCGTGTCGAGTGATACTCGTGCCGATAGTGGTCAAAAGACGTCGCTGTCAAAGAAACGTGCGAACGCGTTTGATTGGTCGAAACAAAAAAATCCGCGAAGACGTTGTCCGCATGAAATGGCACATGATGCGGCAGAAATACGATAGTGCGAGCAACGATAGTCCCATGTTCTATCGCGACATTGTTTCCAACGAAATGTACAACTTTCGTGACATTTGAATCGTGATTGTCCACGATGCATACGATCGTAATAAGTCAGAGTAAGCACATCGACGTTACTATAATGCATGACGCACAGGACACATTCATGCACACGTAGACGCACACTTGAAAGTGGTAGAGGTCACTAGCCTTACGCACCACGGGGTCGTGTTCTCATTTTACCTCGGTACCGTGAAAACTTCTACCAAGCATATTACATTATTATTTCGATTGTATTGTTTTCGTGACCGTTACCTATAATGAGAAAATAATACTACTCTTTGAGATCGAAAGAAGAAAAGAGAGAGAAAGAAAGAGGAGACAACAGAGTTGATTGACACGTCCCTGTGGCTTTATAAACTCTTGCAGTGCGTAGTATTTTATGTACGTTAGATTCAATTTTTTCGTTTCGACGTTGTTTATAGCTGTTTAAACTTGGCATACGATATTATTGTTTCGTTTCTACGGTACGTCGCTTCACTGTCGCACTCGAATTGTCAAAGGCAAATAAGTGAGGTTATGAACGTGTGTCGGCCAATAATGTTAAACTTTGATGGTGTCATTGAGTAACTTGTGAGTCGAACAAATATCACGGTTTATTCGAAAGTACATTCGATATCGTTCTACAAAGTGCATCCGTCGTTTTATAGTGAGAACGTACAGTCGAAGGTAATTCGAAATATGTAAGACGCAATTCTCTTAACCTTTTTGTCATATATTAGCATTAATTGATAAAGCACAATAAAGAGAGTATATGAATGTACTGCGATTTTCTTAGCATAAACTCTGACATTTTAAATTCAATTTTTCAATTTATTGTCCATACAAATCTCGTGAATTTGAATTTCTGCAAATAGAAATGGTGACACAGATGTTGAGACATCATTTATGCAGAAAGTTATTTCATTAAAAGCTATTGATCGATTGTAATACGATAATGCGAATAATTGATTGGAAATTGTCTAACGGTGTGAATTTTTACATAATTTTGATTGTCAACTGACAGCGAAGTGTGTAAATTTGCACGAAATTTGTATTAACGAAAAAGATATATGGTGTATTTGCAATATATAGTAAAATATCGTTCTTACACGTTCGTATAAAACTATTTTCTAAAATGTAAAATAATTCTAACCTTAAAGTGATAGATAAATCTTTTACCGACTTAGGTCGCCTTTACCGACCGTCTGTCGATAATAATGGTGTATTATGTGGAAATTGTTTGAAATGTTATTTATAACAATATTCATAATACTAATATACTAAATTTTGTTTGCAGGGTAAGAATGAAGAATACAAATGAATAATGTATTATTTCAAGAAGAGGAACTTTTGATTTAGACTTGTGAAGTATGTTGAAACATACTCGTATGGTAACATGATAATATTAGGTTCAGAATATTTAGAAGAATCTTCAATTTGGAAAATGTTTATGCATGTTAACATATTACAAACGTGTCTCTGAGGTAAATCAACATAAAAATGGCAGAAAGTAAAATAGAAAATAATGATTTTAAGAAAACATTGGACATTAAAGAAACATTAAATGATACAACTACATCCACAAATGAAATGGAAGATGTAGAGAAGCAAGTGGTAGATATTTCTAATGAAAATACATCGGAAGAAAATGATTCCTGTGAAAAAGACTTTAAGATAATCGATGCTATTAATGTGAAAGAGCAGAAGAAGGACACACATCTTGAAGATTCAAAGGAAATTGAGAAAAATTCACCTGAAAATGAAAAATATTCTGAAATTTTCTCTGAAGAAACAGTAACATCAAACTCAAAACAGAGGGAAGTTGCAGACAAATCAGAGAAACCTAAACAACTTGATGATGCAGTTGCAAAGGCTGAAGATGCACATGTTGCGAGTTGTATTCCACAAGAGGAACAGACGCTGAATGAACTATTGAAAGCGGTGCACGATAATCAAAGTTCAATTAGTGTTCGTGAATCTGACACAGAGTCCAAAGATTTGAAAAAAGATGGTAACAGCAGTGATGAAGAAACTAAGGAAAATGTGGATGAAAAATCAAAAAAAGAGAGTATGGCGAAGGAGATTGTTAGCATTGAAACAAATGTCCCTGTGGAAGATGAAGTTAAACAAATGAGATGTGGTTCAGAAACAATGAATTCTGTAGAGATAATAGAACATATGGAAGTTGGAATAGTAGGGCCACCCACAACTGTTAGCGAACTCATTAATGAAGAACTAAGGGCAGAATCTGCCTTATCGACTGATCACAAAGTTCAAGATCACGTAGCAGAATGGGTTCAAAATTCTGCTAAAGCTGAAAAATTAGTTGCAGAAGAAGAAGACGAAGAAGAGGAAACTCCTATTCATGAAGTTGTAAATGAGAAGAAAAATATGAGGGAGAAAAGGACGAGGAAGAAGAAAAGTAACGATATTCTTGCTTTACCAACTAGGAAATCTCAAAGAATTGTTAGTAACATCATCAAAAGGAGCATTAAGTGGTAAGTACTGTTTTATAACTTTTTATACAAACTTTCACTTAAATTTGTGTTTAAGTACTTTTCATCACTTAATGCTACAGCAAAGAATTTTGCACATTTAGTTGTGGCTACATTATAAATTTTAAATACAAAATTATACATGTTGAGACAATTTAATATTTAACCAAATATACCGCTTAGAAAATGATATGCTTGAATGAATATGATAGCAATCTATGATGTAAAAATAAATATATGTGAATATTCACCATTATAGAAACATTACAATTGATATTTTAAAGTATAAACTTATAGTGAATGGGAAACAATATTCAATCACTTCAGCTTGAAGCTAGTACTATTCATCATCGTCGTTACTACCACTTAGGATAGTTGAAATAAGGATAAAATAAGACAAGAATGAACTTTCTAAAGAAATAATGGGTATAATTTTGAATCTATAGAGTAAATGAGCAATCTTTATTCTCCCATGTATTACATACATACAAAAATACAAAATTTGTCACAGAGGCATGAATTTTTTCATTTGGAAGAATAACATTGGTGACTCATATGTTACCAATTGGAAGTCGAAACGCGCTGGCATGCCATATATGCATCTGTGACATCAGGACAAGTTTTGTGCCTATCTGTGTACATGAAGTATCTCCTCAACTGTCACACAGTTATTACAAATATGCCCTACATAAAATTATAGAAATATGTTTAAATGTGCATACAAATGGTCTCTTACAACTTTTGTTCATTTTCTCCGTACTTTTCTCATTTTATATTTGTATCTTTGTATTGTGTGACTTAAGAAACATAACCAACAAAATTTCAATTTTTATATTTCTCCATGTATCTTCACCAGAATATTATCTTGGTGAGTTTCTCCCAGTGAAAATGAATTCAAACACGACTTTATTTTTTAGACTTTTAATAAATAGTATATATTTGAATAGTTCATATTTGGATGATGTTCGATTAGTCAAGTACTTAAATAATATTCGAACGTTCAAGTACTTGAATAATCTTCAAATAGTTAAGTACTTGTACTTAATTAATAATTATGTTCTCCACATCTCGAGCATCAATTCGAATGATATTTCGGTTCGAGAATTTTTCAATTCACGGTATTATTTCGCACGAGCTTCGAGGATCTAGGGAAACGCGTACATACGTGTCTGTTTCGAAACGAATGCATGTATCGAAGAGTTGGGACACCTTGCGAAGAGAATCGTCTTTGTAACGAGGTTGCGGTCGTTCCCTAGCACGTTCTCCGCCTGGAGAACGGCCGCTCACTCGGCAACGACAAATTCGATCGGGCGAAAAGTACATACATCCACATAAGCGTCGGGTCTCTGCTTCTTTTCTTTTTTTTTTTCCTCTCATCTTCAATCGTCGATCCCATCCAAGATTGGCGTTATCGGCCGATAAAGTCGGGGATAAGAGGAGCACTGACGAGCGCGCAAACGCGCTCTAACAACGTGGAATCAGGGAAGTGGGAGAGGAAGGAAAAAACGGGGAGAGAAATATTGACCGTAGAACGATAAGCAACGCAGTAGTGTCGATAACAGGATGACTATTTCTGCCGCCTCCTTTCCTTTTCGTTTACCTTGTTACCACGGAACAGAAGTAAACGTCCTCGCCTTTGCTCTGCCCTCTTCTTTTTCGACGATCACGATTATTTCTACGATTTCTTTTTCCTTTGACAAATACGTACGTGGCCGCGGTTTATCTGCACGGTAATACCGATCGGTCTTCGCGCGTATGGTATCGTTACGGCGAGAAATAACAAAAAGAGCGTCAATCGAGTTTGGTCGTTAACCCCTTGGGCGCTTGGAATTGCACTTCTTCGAATTGATTGCTTACTCGGAAATCTTGTGCCCGAACATAAGTCGTCTCTTCGTGTTTCGCTTATGCATGCACCTCTTTTAGTCACTGTACATGTATATATGTATACCGAAGAACTAATCTTTTTAATGAAAAGTGGTATTCACTTTTGATTAGTAGGATTGCTTGAATCGTTATTTCTTGAATATACATAGTTACTATACGTATATATATATATGATTTTAAAATGCCTATGAATTTTCTCATATAGAGAATATTTTCAAAATGGTCTCGATATTTTTACATCACATGTTGCTATTTACAGTTCTATAATTTGATTATATTAAAGTTATAAATTCCTTCTGAAATTTGAAAACTCCCCGAACAGTACTTTATTATTTTCCTTCTATACGTGTACTTAATCGTTTGTATCAACAAAAGTAGGAATTCACAAAAGCTTTTATAATTCCTGGTCGAAGTTTAGTTTGACTCACGGCCGGAAACTTCCTGGAAGCTTCTCAGTCGTTCGGAAGACAAATTCTGCTTGCACAAAAGGTTCCACGGCCTCGTGGACGCGTTGAACGGCCATTGAGAGGTTCCATGGCGCAAGAGTACTCTTCTTTCATAAATAGAAGAGCAGTTTATACAGTCCTTTCATTCGCGGAGTTTAAATATTTGCTAAACAAACTTTGAAATTATATCTGTTATTTAAAAACCACTCACATTTTATTGTAACATTTTTATACATTAATTTGTATATGAAATTATATGTTACTTGGGTTGGTAGGTTTAGTATTGAACTATCGGGTTGATTCATAAAAAAACTTTCATTTTTAAACTTACAATTTATTTTCAAATATATTATTAAATAACAAATTTTAATTAATTATGTAATCGTTATCGTTCCTTATCGCTTGTTCCCCATTTAAAAGGCAAATTAAAAATTGTTACGGTGTAGAGGGTTCTTGGCAGCATGGTAATATGTTACCTGCAACGAAAGTTATTTATGAATCTATGCGATAGATTGATTTAGAAGAAAAAAAAAACAATTCGAAGATGAACAGCTACGTCAGGTCATAGAGACTAGTTTTCTTCGGAGAATGTGACTTGGATCGTATCGATCGAACGCATAGTTTTCTCAGAAGCTGTTAACCAGGTTGAAAAATGTTTAGAGATAAATACGTTTACAGTTTCAGTAGCCTTCGATCGGGCTGTTAACACGGTTTCACACTCAAGGCTGTAACTCTAGTAATTTTGATCATTTCTTTTGACACGAGATTCTTGAAATGCGTATCTTCCGAAAAAGGTAACAAAAAATCAATTTAACCGTTTGACTGCGGCGAAGCTCTCTCGCGCTTCGATACGTACGAGGAACATACGCGTACACAAGAAAATTCTTCAGCACTCAAACGGTTAAAAAAAAAAAATTTTAATGTCGTGCTTCCTTATAGTAATAGAAGCCTTCGATCGAGCGCTCAACATCTTCTACAAAAATTTAACTCAGAAAGTTTGATTTTTCCCCATTCAATTTTAGTGTCGTAACCCCTCGATACCAGAACACCTAAGTGGCAGGAACTCGAGGGATGACACAGTGTAGTTTGTCTTGGTAGACCCCGGTAATTATAATATTTAAAGTTCGCGTAAGCGGCTGTCGAAAGAACGCCGGCATCCGAGGTCTGGTCCCAGGCCAAGGCTGGTCTCACCCCGCGGCCCGGATGAAAGTGGAGCGGTCTGCGAGAGCGGGAGGGGCGTTAATCCCTGCGAACGGTACCATAGAAACGGTACCGGTGGGGTCGTTACGTGTGCCTGCAGACCAACGTCGAGCAACCACTCTGAAGAGCTTGCCCGGTACCAGATACACGCCATCGATGTGCGTGGTTGCGTGCGTGCGTGCGTGCGTGCGTGCGTTCGTTGGAGCAAGGAACCTACGATATAATCCAGCCCAAGGCCCCCCTAAGAAAAGGGGAAGGTCTTCTTTGTCCCTCGGTCCCTCGGGCGAAGGACCGTAGCCAGATGTCGGGCTGACGATCCTTGCGACTGCGTCGACACTCGCTCATGCTTCCTTATTCGTGTATGCGTACCCCTGACGACGACGCGTAGGCGGACGCACGCGTACGCCTGCGAGCGTCGCGTCGTTGCACGCTCACGGGTATTGCGTATCCTTCGTGGGTATTTTTGGTGACCCGTGCATACACTTGGTCCCTGCATCGTGAATTCGAGCTCGACTTGTTTCCTTGAGATGGAGAAAGCGTTGCTGTTGTACTATGTTTGGGTTTAAGGGGTTAGTCGCAGTCAGGAAGAGGAAAAACGATATTTCTTTGTGATTTTTTTTTTTTTTTTTTTTTTGTTATTAAATAATAATTTGCAGAAGTAAGAATTAAGTATATATTATAAAGCGTGTTTTAAAGAAATAAAAAACATTTTTTGTTTTAAGAAACGTTTAATTTATATCGTCATAAAACATAAACCTATTTAAAAACATAGGTTTGCGGTGAGCAAGTATTTCTCTGCACTGGTTTACCTGGAAACAAAGACAAAGGTTGATTTCGAAAATAGATTAGTCTAGCGGGTCCCTGAACGAAGGATATTGGAAAAGATTAATTTAAAACAAGATGGCGTACATTTGAAGTTGATCTTCAATTTTTTCACTAAAATTAAGCGATTCAATACGGGATAAAAAAAGAAATATACAAGAAAATAAAAAATCCTTCGATCAGGGACTCGTTAGTCTAATATATTTTCTAAATCTACTTTTAGTTTTGTTTTCAGGTGCACCAGTTTGAAGAAATCTTGCTCACCGCAAACCAAGTGGCCACCCACGCCATCGTCTGTTACGAAGAAACGAATTAACCTTTTTTTAAAACAAAAATTCTTTTACAGTTCTTTAAGACATACTTTGTAATATATTTACGTTTCATTCAGAAAAATTATTATTTAATACCTTAAAAAAAAACACACACAAGAAACTGTCCGTTTCCATTTTCCTGACTGCGACTAACCCCTTAACAGAGCTTGGAGCTTGGAGATGGTTACTTTGATGCTGTGTGTATTGGAATGATCGTTAACGCTTTATCTATCGGCCCATTTAGAAATAGGATATGTTTTAAGAAAGGATTTGTAAAAATTAGTATATGTTATTCTGAGCTGATATTAATTTCTGCGTACTGGTTACTAAATGTATCAAA